AAGAGTGGTCTGAAACAATTATAAATAGCCTTTTACGATCAAAGTTTTCCTTCTTCATATTTTGTGGAACTTTAAACCTGGATCAAAATCATAATCTGAATTTTACCTTGGTACTAAAACCAGAATTTAAAAAGTCTGGCCTTTCCTTTGAATGTTGGGAAAGTTTGAATGTGGATCCATATTTAACTCCATAACAACAAGCCAGCTTTTCTTTATATAATGGTATATATTTTATCCACAGTTTTGTTAGACATTTAGGCAGATATATTTCTGCTTTTTTTCTTTACCTCTTGTTAAACGTGTAAAACGCTATGGGATAGAGTCGAAATCTAAGTCTAACTTGATTCCCACTCAACACACTAGTAAATATCCTGATAAACAAATAACCTTGAGATTATTTACAAGAAAAAAATTGGTAGCTTAATTTGGTTTCAGCAAGTCTATTGCTCTGCTATCAATAAAGAAAAAAAATTGACTAAATTCCCTTGTCATAGCCAGTAACCATTTCTGAACTTGCAGATCAGGCATGTGACACCTTTATGAAAAGGCATCCCTGCTGAAGCAGCAGCCATTCAGGGTTGGTTGCTTTTTAATAAACAGTTGTTTTAGGACTCTAACATTTAATACTCTTTGTGAACACTAAAGTCACAAAAAATTGTCATCTCCAGATTTCAGACTTTATATAGCATTGACTTCCTAATGAATCTGAATTTTACATTTGAGTATATTCTTTCAACCAAAAAAACATGCTGTCTCTTAAAGAATTTATTCTAATGTAAAACATTAAGTTAACATGATGCAGAATGAACAAAGAAGCAGTCTTCAATAATTAAACAGCCTACATATTTAATGAAATGTCTTGCTTGCATTAGAAGCACTGGTTAACAGCTGCAGACTATACTTTGAAGGCGACTTAAAAGTGCAGAGATGACAAGAGATTGCAAATCACTGCATTAGGAATTACAGAGTTTTGTCACATTAATATGCAAACAGCTTTCTTTTAAATGTGGAATTATGCCAACTTGTTGACAGAAAATGAAAATAACATTTCCTTAGTCCATATAAGCATCAGAAGACGAAGTAGCCAGATAATATTACTCACAAGGTTCCATTTCAAAACATGGCTGTTTTTGGGAAATGACTGTTTTCATTTTCTTACTGGCAAATCTTTGGCATTGTATTTTTTATCCTTTATTACACACATTCTTCTGTGTTTTCCAAAAATGCTTACCAGCCAAAATCCTGCTCAGCTGTGGAATCTAGTACAAATGATCAATAAAGTGTGAAAATAACAGACTGCCTCTTAATTGAATAATAATATTAACTTTGTTGACTACCCCAGTATACTTACATCAATATAATTTCCATTGATGTAGTCTGAGTTTGTTTCTCCTTCAATGGGCTGCAGTCTCACTCGAGAATGATCATCTGAAATGGGAACGAAAGGGAAACATAAATAAGCAATTTCCTGTTGTGCTTTTAGTAGGCCCAAAGTATAAGGACATATACAAATCTGAATCTTTTTAAAGCAAGTTAAAATATGATCATTTGCACTTTTTAAACACCCAGATTCCTTGTGATACTGGATTCAAATGAGACTAAAACATCTAGTACAGAAAAAGAATGCCTTTCATTAACGTATTTACTGGCATTCAATTGCCAAAAGGTTCTCTCAGCTATGAGCACAAATTAGAGAGGCTTTACAATAGCCTCTGGTAGTAAAGCATTATCTTATTAGTGAAGAGACGAGAGAGACCAAGACTTAGAAAATAAGCTTGATAAACCATCTCTCTTTTCACTTACCTACCTACCTACCTACTTAAAATAATCCCTTCATATTGTATCTTGTTTCAATGACTTTTTCAACTGAAGAAGAGATGTGTCTACCTCTGCTGGATCACTGAAAATCTCTTATTTTTCGCTTCATTAATCCCCAACTAATATTTTACCTGAGGCAGCCTCTTTCCTACATGAGAGCTAGCAGATAGGGTCAATTTGGAACCCATTAATACAGGGGTGGGTAATTATTTCAGGCGGAGGGCTGCTTATCAAGTTTTGGCAAGCCACTGATAGCCACATGGGTAGCCCTGCCCTTTGACAGCTGCCCCACCCCCTAGCTACCATCTTGGGACTGGAAGTCCCACCCTCTAGCCCCTGACCTTTGCCGTCACAAGTCCCTCCCTTTGCCCCCTGAAATTACTCCTTTCAGCAAGGGGTTCTGCCATCTCTGAACCAGAAAAATACCAAATTATATTCTAAGAATCAAACATGAACTACAACATTCATTAATTTCATTTCCAAAAATATTTTTGTCCTTATTTACATGCGTTTGTGTAGTGTAAATAGAAGTGATACTATAATAGCTTAAAATGAAGTCTTAAAATGAAGTCTTATACAGTGTACGAGGGTGTGGGTTGGAGGGTGGGTATAGGCTTATGGGTATATGGGGTGTGGGGGAGGAGTGTGTGTGTGGGGGGGATTTGTGCAGGGGTGGTTAGGTGTGGTTGTGTGGGGTGTGGGTGGGTATGGGTTTTGTGAGGGGCTGTGAGTGTGTGAAGGGAGAGTGGCTGGGGAGGGTTGTGGCTTGGGTGGCAGGGGAGGGTTTGCCAAGAGCCTGTCCTGCCCCACCCCGCAGCAGGCAGAGCTCTCACCAGTGCTCCTGCAAGCCTGGACTCTACGCTCCTGCCACTCCTGGCCCTGGGGCACAGGCACAGGCCCTGTGCTCCCGCTTGCTGCCACTTGCCCCCGTGTGCAACTGCTGCCCTTCTGCTGCTGCTTCTCTATCCCACCCAGACACTCTGGCACCATGCCCCAGCTGCTACTGCAGTCCTGGCACTGCAGCTGGGAACTATGCTGTGCCAGTGCAATGGGCGGGGGAGGGACAGAGCAGGGAAATGGCTACAGCAGGTGGGGGGAGAAGGGGCAGCAAGCAGGCATGCAGAGCACAGCAACAACGGGGCAGGAGCATGGGGCCCACATTGGTGCACCAAGGCCAGCGCCAGCGAGACCCAGAGCAGGGTGGCAGGAGCACAGGATCCAGGCTGCCAGGGGCTCTATGGAGCTGGGCTGCACCGCTCAAGCAGGGAGAGGAGTGAGCTGGCCTGGCTCCATAGAGCCCCTGGCAGCCCAGCCGCAGGCTCCTGGCGCCCTGCTCTAGGCTTCAGCAGTGCTGGCCCCGGGGGGGCCCCATGCTTCTGCCTGGCTGTTGCTGCGCGCTGTGCGCCCACTTACTTATACTACCCTCTGCCTGCCACAGCCATTTGTCTGCTAGCTCCCTGCTCACCGGCCTCCAACACCACGTGGTTTCCAGCAGCAGCACTGGGACTGCAGGAGCTGGCCTAGCTAGCCCTGAGGACTGGAGCAATTGCCCATGGTCCTCCCCTGCTTCCCTCCCCACCTCCTTCTTATCTGTATTTCTCTCCACGGAGGGAGGCAGGAACAGCCCCAGGCCAGAAGCTTCCAGAAGCCCCTGCTAGGCAGAGGCTGTCAGCTGAGGCTTGGGGTGGGGCTGGGGGCTGGACTTGCTGCTGCAGGTGTTTAGTTCTGCCACTGGCTCCCCCTGGGTCCTACTGCCCCTAGCTCCTGTCATCTTTGACAGGCAGCCAGGGGCAGATAAATATTAATTTTCTTAACTTTTTAGGGGTGCTGTGGGCCAGACAGAATGGCCTGGTGGGCTGGATCCGGCCCACCGGCCATATTTTGTCTGCCCCTGCGTTAATATATTCCCTAATAGCTAAGGATTTGTAGCCACATTTCCTCCCTAAAACATGGATCTTGCATACATATGATGAATTAAATTATAATCTGGAAATTTCATAGTTCACATGAAGAAAACATGAGGATTTGCTTTGCCAGTTCACACCAGAAAAGATTAGTACTTTGCATCTGGTCAGAGTCAACATTTTATGGCACAAAGTGGGACCAAAAAGAAAAAAAGAAAAGAAAAGGCATAAATCTGATTGCCTTTACCTTACCATGTATAATTATAAATGCTATTGAAAGTCACAAAATCATGTAATCATGTTATAAATACAACCATTACTCTTTAGTGGTGGGAAGTTCCAGAGATTTCTTTATTGTATGAGTATCACCTACTAATTATAAAATTATGTTCTGCTCAGAAAAGTGATCCCGAAGAAGAATATCTTGCATTCAAAAGCTTGTCTCGCTCTATCTCAACTATACAGTTGGTCCAACAAAAGATATCACTCTAAAAAACTCTTGCCTCTCACACTGTCAATTAAGACATTATGGACTGCACATTTACTTCTCTTGATGATTTCTGTATTATGTGAGTTTGTTTTATGATTAAACTGTTAACCCTACAAATTCTGTTTGTGCATTAGGGGTACAAGCTGATTTCTGTTTTATTCCTCATGAACAGTAAGACAAATTCTACAGAATACTGACACTCATAGTTTCATAGTTGGTAGGGTCAGAAGGGACCTGAGCAGATCATCAAGTCTGACCCCCTGCCATGGCAGGAACGAATACTGGGGTCAAACGACCCCAGCAAGGTGTTCGTCTAGCCTCCTCTTAAAGACTCCCAGGGTAGGAGCCAGCACCACTTCTCTTGGAAACCCATACCCACCCACACCCCACACAACCACACCTGCACAAATCCCACACACACAGACACACACACACTCCTCCCCCACACCCCACATACCCGCAAACCTATACCCTGTTACAGGTTTAAATCAGTTTCTGATCACTTAAACCAGTTTATGTGTAATGTCTGTCCCTAGCCTACATATGGAGACACTGAGCTACCCACACACCATTATCCCCCTCTCAGCCTTACTGGCTTAATCTAAAGGAAAGGCAGATGCCAGTAGAAACATGCCAGTAAACATATCCTGTTCATTCTTAAAGTAAGCAAATATGACTTTGATTACACTGAACTGGTGGATCTCTTGATTAAAAAAAATGCAATACTTACAGTTACTTTCCAGATCAGGAGTACATTCTACCCTTGAATATTCCCTTGTTCCTTTTATTGTGGAACACAGTGAAAAATAGGAAGCTTTTTTATTTTTCCCATTATATTCTTCATAATTTTTCATAACTACTAGTGGGTGTCTCCCATGTTCTTGTTCTTTTAGGGCTAACTAATATCTTTTTTTGCATCCACTTCAACATACGCAAGTTCTACAATGCTCTTTGGTAGACTTCATGAGTCTCAGAAATATTTTTCTTAAAGAATGGTAACTAACATTTGACATAACATGGCCATCGTTTAATAATTTATATTTTCTGTATGGTTTTATTTTGCTCTTCCATGTGCACTTGGTTGTTCTTTCTTTTTTTAAAACAAATGCTGCATACTAGAAGACATCCTCAGGCATTTTCCTCAGACAACTCAGCAAATTCAGAGTCTAGCAGTTTATGTAAGCAGTCAAGATTATTGTTCCTATTTTGCATTCTCTTGCATTTATCCAAGCTGAATTTCCTGCGATCCATTTGTTCAATGCATCTAGTGATTATCAAACCTTCTATTGATTTTTCTAACCTTGAGTAAAATTCTGTGCTCCTTAATTAAATATACAAGAAAAGGAAAGAAACAAAAACCAACATCAAACAAATAACAACTAATGGATTTTCAATGAATTTTGCTTCATTGAAGTCCTCTATATTTGGTTCAAACCCCTGCCATGCCATCGACAAGTCTCATCAGTTTACTAATCACTCGTCCTTCCAAATCACTGAGAGTTAAATTGTGCAGTGGCTCACCTCACTCTCCATGTGGTCACAGCTGCAACAAGCAAGGTGCTTAAGCTGGATTCCCCTGTTATAAAAGACAGGGAGCCGCCAGTAGGGCATTCTCTATAAGGGGCTTGTGAATCTGAAACCTGCTGATCCTTTTGATTGAGAATAATCCAAATATAACGGCTTTTTGAGCATGCTGCAAAAGGTGTTTGTTTAACAATGCTTGGAGAAATAGATGAGCTTGGGCAGTGGTAGAAAGGGGCATTTCTGTTGTTTTGGTTTATTGGCAGTGTGAGCTAATTAGTTACTTGTCTATAATTACTGAGTGCTGCTTCTGGGCTGACTCAATATGGCTGGAATAGACATTGGCCTTATGCCACCATAAAACATGCTTATGGCGGCACAAAGGCCAACCAAACAGACATCCCTTGTTGCACCACAAGTGGCCAAAATTTGTTGCCACAACATAAACAGTATACATTTGTGCTGCTATTTTGCAGTGGACACCTGTTTGCTTTAAGGTGGGAAAGCGTGGACAGCCCATTCCCAGGGGATGCAGTATCAGTCCTCTGAAGCCCTGGTAGCACCTGACTAGGTTCTCCTGTTTGCAGAAATACACCCCAAGTTGGATTTCCCAGCTGCATCTCTGCAAATGGAGAAATCTGCGGTAGCTTGGGAAACCTGGGGTTTTCTCGTTGGCAGAGATGCACACCCAGGGA